ACTTTTAAATATTTAACAATGACATCATGAATTTCATCAACTTCAACAACATAATAAAATTTCCAATCGAATCAGTAAAATCCATAGAACATAACTGAAATACTCATAATCTATGTTTCACAAACCAAGTGAATTCTCAAAAGTCAAACTATTAAATACCAAGATTTAAGAATAAGGGACGAAAATCCTACTTCTTTTGCATTCTAATCTACAGGAGTTCAAGCTTGAATCTAACTTCCATTGGAACTCCACTTAGCCATTCCGTTTCCCTTTGCAAACAAACAACTTTCTGATTCAATTTCCGTTCTTAGACTTTAGTTTGTTATGTAAACTAAGTGCTTATTAGTGCGTCTTAACATAATTTTGACAGCTTTCAAGAGAAGTTAAAGATATATATATGTGTGTGTGTGTGTAAAATTTAGAGAATAAAATTCTAAGCATTTTAACACCTTTTTTAAATAGAAAAATAAGAAAAATTCTCAAAAGATGCTAAAGAACTTCAGATTTGAAACCAAGTGATGGAAGAAAGGCTAGAACAGTGTTCTAACCCCTGCCGAAAGCTTCAAAATTGGTTCAATAATATTCACCCAAAATACCAAACGGAAAGGAAACATTAATTCACATTTAAAAATATAAATTTCCCATAAAATTTCTCAAGAAGTCTCTGTTCTCAAAATCTTCAACAATATTGCTAATCAAAATCACTTATCAAACCCATCAATTCATACATGAAAAAACAAAACTCAAACATTGAATTGGGTTCTGTTCTAGCAATTCTAAAACTAAATCTTCATCACAAGTTCAAATATCAAGAGAAAAAGATTAAAGATAGAATTTCAGATTCAAAGCATAGCAAAACTGAAAGTTTTAAAACAAAACAAACCTCAAATTTTGATTTGGTCCAAAAGCTTGGTGTTTCTCAACAATCTCATGATTATCCCCAAATTGTACATGAAAGATTGTTCTTTGGTATAAGTTCTTCTCAAACTCGATATTTAGGATTTTCTAAAGGAAAAGCTTGGTTTCATGCTTCAGAAATTTAGAGAGAAAGAGAAAGAGAGACACAGAGACGGTAGAGAGGGAAAGTGAAGTGAAAGTGGTGAGGTTATTTTGTTTACGCTCAATATTTGGCCTCGTTTATTTCACCGATTCGAGTTTAAAATTATAATTTTATTACTATAAAAAACTCTAAGAAATAGTCATATATAACTTTTTTATTATAATAAAAAGTTTTCACATAAAGTCACATCTCAACTCGAATTAAAAACTCAAATCAGCGAACTAAAGAGATCCTTTGTATTTTATTCAATTCTTAAAAACCTAATTTGAGCATCCCAATAGCTAAAGGTCTCGTGGGTTATACGGATTCGAGTTTTTAATTTAATTCGAGTTTTTAATTTAAATTGAGATATAATATTTTTAAAAAAATTTTAACTGTATAAATTTAGAACTGAAAACTCTAATTAATAAAATAAACATGACCTAAACGGGGATAGGAATCACATGGGTCTACAAAGCAAAGCTCAGAGAGACAAATTTGTAATTTTTTCAAGATATTGAGGAGAAAACAAAATTCTACAAAATTGGGGATAACATTGAGAAATCTTGAAATCAATCTAACTGGTGTAAAATTAAACTTAAACCCAAAAAAATCAATATTTAATTTAAATTAATTTTAAAAATTAGGCACACTAATTAACTCTATTTACTTAACAATCACACTTAATTAGTTTTCTAATTAAGTTGGTGTTGCAAAAATAAAATAAACATGTGAAAATATCTGATAATGATATTTATCGTGTATTTTGAATCAATCGAATTAAAACGATCAATTGTCTCATTTTTGAAAAAGAAAATCATGGATGGTTGATGTACCAAAACTAATTTTGTTTTGTTTTTTTTTTTTTTTGTTTTTTTTTTAAAGAGTATAATTTTAGTACATATATAATAATAGCAAGAACTGAGAAATCCATAAGTGGGTTTACAAACAAAGCTTAGTTTTAATTTGACGGATCAATACAAAATTGTAGACAAGTTAGCAACTCGATAGAGAGCAAGTTGCATAATATCATCCAACCAAAATTAATTCCTTCCATGAGCTATTATACTCAATATATATCTGAAGGAAGCGGCCAAGCATGTAACTGATTGAAGCCAATTCCGATCACCTGAAAAGTCTATATAGGTTGTTGCACTTCATTTTTTAATATATCCTAAAATCATTTACAAACATAAGTTTAGACTTTAATTGAGAGCTCATATACTAGAAGCTTATTCTAGATTCGAAGACGAGCTCCGTTTGTACTAATTTTGTCACTATTCTGCTCAATCGTTTTTTCAATAAAAGTTTACTATTCCCATTATGCTTTTTCCTCATTTTACCAAGGTCTCGTTCATTTTACCGATTCGAATTTTCAGTTTTAGGTTTCTATAATCAAAAGCTCTCAGAAAATGTAGTATCTAACTTTTTCTGTTACAGTTAAAAACTCTAAAAAAATGTCACATCTCAACTTAAATTGAAAACTCGAATCCGCGAAAAGAATGAGACTCAAATATCCCCAAATTTCAAAATTTTTCTATCTTCCTACTATATTACCTCAAGTTTCTAGCATTTTTCTAACTTTGATATGCACTTGCAGATCCATATTCTTGCAGTGTAGGAAAATTAATATTCATGAACCATTGCATAATCCCTCTGGTAGTTGAAATTGTGTCACAACGTGGTAAGAACGCATATATATACTAAAGTATCGAATAGATAATAATTATGATATAATTAACCATTTGAACCTTCAAATACCTATTGGGCAACAAGGAGTTCTAGCCAAGAAAATACTTCAGACGGTTCTTTTACAACGTAGAACAATAATAAAACTAATTAGAAAAGTAAAATATTAATGTTAAAGAGCCGACTGAAAGTACTGGCATGCAATTTTCAGTAATAACCTCATAAGTTTAGTCTAGCACAATACATATATTTTACCAAAAAAATATATATTCATATGAAATTTTGAACCCAAAGTAAATTTAAAAAACAAATATTAATGTGACATTTTGAACCTAAAGTAAACGCACTACCAAGCAGGACTAAATCCCTTTCATATATACGGGTCTTCGAAGAACCCGTCTTGTTTTTCACATTTTTATTTATTGATTGATATACCTGTGACAACCCTAACTTTTAGTCATCATCCTATGCTCATATTTACCATTTCTTAACCTCTATGACGACCCTAATTATAACTTCTTTAAATTTCAGGCCATTTTTTTTCATTCTTACCATGTACGTTAAAATGCTGTAGCATTCTGACAACATTCTGTTACATTAGTCATCAAAATTCTACTACTTACTATTCCGGAAAGAATTTCGGTCAAATATTGGACTGTCCGGATTAGACCTAAATTTTTCCCAGTCATTACAATATCAAACTGTTTAGGAATTTCTACCTTACTTTTTAGTCTCATATCATATAAAACACATAATCATAGACTTGAATTATGTAGTGATAAATAATTGTTTCATAAACAATAACCAAATAACAAAACAAGTATATAGTATTGTCTTTATTTTTTAAGATCTAAAAGACTTTTTTAGAAATAAAACCTAACAAAGTAAATAACTCCAAAAAAGTTGTCCCCCGAGAGTAATAATAACAACAACATTTATACTAACAATAATACTCTAAATTATAGATATAATAAATCCCAATTCTTTTCATAGCTAGAATAATATCAAAATTAAATAACACTTACAAATTAGTTCCACAAACATTATAATGCATTTTCCTAAAGAACTGATAATTATTCAAAATAAAATATAAGGGAAGAAATTGAATACTAGAAATATTATTTTTTTTGCTCCTGTAATATTGCATAAATTTGTTGTTATTTTAACATTTGAACCTCCTATTAATATTTCACTATATAAACAATTGCATTTTCGTCAAAGTTCAAATTTATACCTTTTTTGTTATAATGCGATTTTGATATATGATTTTGTTGAATTTCACTAAATGAATAAGTCAAAGTCAAAGTCCTCAGCAATCGCATGCAATTGGAAAATATATAACTTTAATTGTAAGGAAAAAGAAAAAAATAACTCTTAATTTACACGAGTTTTAAATTTTTATCCCTTACATTTGATTAATACATTTTAGTTAAAAAACAATGTTAGTCAAAAGACTAAAAATTTTAAAACAATACATTCAAAAGATGAGATCGCTAATTTTTTCTTAATAATTATATGACTCAGGAAGGCATGTAGAATGATTCATTTCAAAAGGACTCGAATCATCTGTATAATTCTTGATGTTTTAAATAATATTTGATCAATCATATTATATGACATTATCGGACTCAAACAATACTTATTAATTCTTGGCAGTTAGTTTGAACAATATTGATTTCTTTTTGTCATAATAAAACTTCGATTGGTCCTGAATCACAAATGGGGCCGTACCTAGGGTGGCTCCACAGAGGACTAGTGCCTGGAATAATTAGGTATGAACTTTTTTTTTCTTTCATTCTTTATTTATTAATTTTCCTGAGATATACCATGATTAAGATTTAGCAATATTCATGTCTCGACTGTGACTACTTTTGACTAGTTCCACTTGTAAGACAACTTTTCATCTATAAAAAAATGAAAAGAAAAAAACTAGATCTAGTCATTTGAAGCCGTAAAATATCATGTTTTGCACTGTTGGTTAGCAAGTAAGTACGTTCTTGTCCTTCAAAAACCATTTTTGAAACATATGGAGTTCACCTACAAGCAACATTAGATTTTCTTCTAAAGTACTGTTCTTATTTTAATGGATTCAAACCATTTTAATTTAAAGTAAATAAAAAGGAACAAATTAAATCAAGTGGGAATAGAGAGACGGGTGATCAAAAAGCCATTTAAAGCAACAACAAATGGCCGTTTATTTATCACCTTATATAAATTCAAATTCAAATACGGCAAGCTTTAATTCTATAACACACTTTGCCGAGAGGGTGCTTCAAGCAATAGATGTGACGTTGAAGTTGGCGCAACTTGTTTGCCTCAAGAGAAGAGAGGAACTGAATCCAAGCCTTGAAGCTGCCAAATCAAATTGCAAAAGATTGTCTTCAAGCTGATGCCCTCCAATCACAATGGCCATCCTTGTGAACTTCACTCCCCAATCAACGAAGTGAATCGGACCGCCATCGACGAATCCGAGGCACAAAACATCCTCACTAACCCTAACCATGGAGTTGGCTCCAAGAATCCTCCACACCACTTTCTCATTCTCCAACACAAGGTCAATCGGAGGCACAGCCGGGCCAGCCCTCGTGTGACCGATATTCTTCGAGCTAAAGCATGCGCCGAAAGGCGATACCACCGCAACTCTCGTAACGCCATTACCGAGCTCTTTAACAAACGCATCAACTACGGCATTGTATATGGATGTTTCCAACACAGTGTAGGGATGAACGGTGCTGATCTTTGTTCCGCCATGTCGTTCTCTATCAACGGACAACAATGTCTTGTTCAACGCGACCGGTTTGTCGTTGATCTTAATCGACGTCACTCCGATGAAATACTCGGACGAAATCTCACCTGTGAGACTGCCTATTTCTGTCACCGGAACGAGCGGAGTGTAAATCAATGACTTAGAGACGTCAATTTTAGGATTCAAGACGTAAGGCCCGTTACCGAAGAGTACGACACCGTCAGAAGTAGTTGAAGAGCTCAAGCAGAGGGCGAACTTCTTGGGAAAGCTAAAAGCCGCAGAAAACTGAAGAGGGAGAGAAACTTTAACCCTTCCGAGGCCAGCCATTCCCTTAACGCCATTAGCCAGGCCTTCTAAGAGGAAGGTGGGGGCACAAGTGAAGAGGAACTTTGGCACGGAAACAAGTCTTCCTGGGTTCGTCCGGTCGGTGGATTGTACGGAGACGATGTCTTGTACGAAATCACCGCTCGCCGCCTTTCCGACTACCGTATTCACCGGAGTCTCCGAACACGTGCTGCCTTCTATGTTAGGGTACGTAGTGCAAGCCGTGAACTTGCCTGTGAGGCGGCATCGAGCCGAGTTGCAAGGGACGTGCTTTTTGGTTGAGGAGTTGAAGCCGTTTTCGCAGTCGACCCAGAGGAGTTTGCCGCTGAGATCTAGGGTTAGCTTGACGGGGACGTGAGGTGTCCCTTGGGCAATGTGGGTGATGTATTGGAGGGTGGAGGGGTCTTTGGTGACGCGTAGGAGCAATTTTTTGGTACGGAATGAAGATTGGGCTATGGAAATGGGGAAGAGAAGTAGAGAGCAAAAGAGAAGAAAATACAAAGAAGAAGAAGCCATTTTAGTTTTGTAATAGTAAATATTGTCGTGAGTTAAGGGGTGAAGAAGTATTGGAAACGCATGAGAATTTATAAGTGATTGTTGAGGAGTCTTTGGAGACTAAGGTTCCGTTCATTTCACTGATTCGAATTTAGAATTCGAGTTCTGTTACAGTAAAAAACTCTAAGAAACAGTTACATCAAACTTTTTTATTACAGTAAAAAATTCTCATATAAAATCACATCTCAATTCGAATTAAAAATTCAAATCAACAAATTAAACAGCCGAAGGCATCAACTTAGTCCACATGGGGTGGCGGCTTATCAAAATGATCACATGCACATAATTGGAAAGGTGAAATCCATGAATAAGAAATGGGAATTGAATAGTGTTTCTTTTTTATTTTAAACATGAATATACACCTGGTTATGTATATAATATTTTCAAAGTTATCGTTTCGTGACCCTCGCCAAATAATGAATAAGGAGTGGGTCTGATTCCCGGCGGCTATTGTTATAATTGTTATAATGGGCAGGGAATTATATCTATAATTCTTTTTTGGACCGCTGCAACTTCTGGTGATGATGGCGCCAATTTACACTTTATTCCTGCATTATGAAACTTTGTGAGTTAAAAAATGTCTGCAAATATTTTATAAATAGAGTACAAGATGTGTGCCATTTATAAGTTTTCTTTTTTTGTCTCCCTTCCTTTGTTTTTGTGGTACAGAATCTGAATAGGTCCTAAATATGGTCGAGAGATGTTGGGTTGGTAGTATATTGGACATGTGTGTCTTTGCATTCTCTATTTATGTAGATTCATGTCGTCTAAGTACGTTGGATATCATGATGAAGGTCAATATATGTGTGTGTGTCTATATATATATATATATACGGGTCTGATAGAGGATATACAATATAATAGAGCTCATTGGTCTAGGATATTTAGAATTAGTTATCACAGTTTACTTAAAAACTTTTGAAAACAGTTTTAATTTCTTTTCTTCAACTTAACAAATAAACTTCAAAACAAGAGATTTTCCAAACGTATTTTCTAACAAAACAAGAATCTATTTTAGAAAAACGATATAGAACGGGGACTTGATGACTTTTATTTTTAAGGTTAGTTTAGTCTTTTTTTTTTTTTTTTTTTTTTTTTTCCGATTTCAATCAGTTGAACTCTTAAATTGGTATAAGATTACCTGAATTTAAGGAAAGATATTCCTTAATTGCTTTATAGGAGAATAATGTGGCAAGCTAATTTGGACGAATGTAGAAGAAGAAAAAAATATTGATCAATCTGGACTTTGAAGTCTTGAGGAGTGAAGACATTGTCGGACAATAAATATCCAACTATTCAGAGAGAGATGAAGATATATAGTGTTAAAATTGGTGGTTCAATATTCCGTTAGTTTGTTACAAGTTTTTAGATATATTCCTTGTTCTTGAGTACGATATATGAGATTGTTCCTAAGAAGATTTAGGCAAAAGTTTATCAAGTGGTATGCCTACTCTCAAGAAGGATGGCGATGGCAAAACTGGAGGTGAAGAAATTCACCAGAACAAATGACTTCAGTCTATGGCGGTTGAAGATGAAGGCTCTCATTGTTCATCAAGGACTGGATGTGTGATGACCCTTTCGGTCATCATTTCTACGTTCATACTTAGTATTACTAATCTTCTATTTCTTTCTAATTATAACCTCTTAAAAATTAGGCTAATTTTTTTTTCCAACCATTCATACGTCTTAATACTGTAGCATTTTGCTAGCATTCCGTTAATGCTATAGCATTTAGTTACATTATACATGCCTTGTGACTAGAGGTTGCTATGCATAGCCTCACTATCTCGTAACCTCAACTTTCGTTACATATAACTCATCTATATTCATAAAACATTATTTACTTTATACGCATAAAGCTCGGCAGCGTTTCCAAAAAATGTAATGCATCCACTACTCACTTGCCCACACTCCGTTGCTACATCCTCTCTGCATGCCCAGCAACAAGTTTCAGGGAGCTGGTGTCTTACCCGAGCTTCCTACAACACGAATAAACTTAATGAGCTTTCGCTTAGTAAGTAACAGTAGGTCATAATAGATGCAATAATTATGCATTACCCATATATGCATTCATATCATATATGTATGGCTTATGTTCTTCTTCTTTCATTACATACTTTGTTCAGCTTTCGTCTCTCTTTAGTCGTTCACATTGTATTTTCACGTTCTGAACGACTTTCATATTGCGTTTCTGATTCTTTTCATTCTTCTTTACAGATACCGTACTCTTATATGGAATGGTTTCTGTTTTTCATTTTCTTGTCTTTTACTTCTTATGGGCCCTGTCCTGTTGTACCATAACGTGCATAACTAGTGAAGAGTGGGGTAGCTAACCAATCCAATTCAGTCACAGTTTCATTTCTTTCATAGTCTCATAATAACCTTTCCTTTGAAGGCTGGTACAAACAAGATGTTTGATCTCTAACCGTTTATCAATTTTTTATCATAACTTTTCGTTAAAGTTTAACTTTTTCTCTTTAACTTGACCTTGACTTGACGTCTATACATGTTTTTCGTAGAATAAAAGTCTACTGCTACTTAAGTGTTGTAGATACATGCATAACATTGTATCTAACATTTAAGAGTCATCTTTCACATTTTAGCATACATTTAGTCTACAATATGCCCAGATTGAGCAACATAGAGAAATAAATTTATTCGCGTTGTAGAAAAAAACTATTGATACTTACAAAAGTTTTGCTAATGTCGCATCCTTTGTCTCACTTGATGCTTTTTGACTTCGATCGTTAATCGATCATATTGCATAAATTTTTGATCGTTAGATTCAAAATATAAGATCAATAATTGCATTAAATTTAATTCGGAAAGGTTTACAATCCTTATGTTGGGTGTTCAATCCCAAAATATTTTCTATCTCAAGAATTTGCACTAAAATCGTGCACCTTCCTCAGTCATGTGCCTAATTTTCAGTTTTGGTCTAAATCTGTGAATTTTCATTGTGTTCGGTTTCTATACATCACCAATTATCAAATCGACTTACTTTTCACATCTTAATCCCTTATTCCTCATGAAAACCGGTTTAGTTCAAAATGCTCAAACTAAATTTCGGCAGAATTCCGCCTATTTTCCTAGGTTTCCCGAGCTAACTTTACCTCGTTTTATCCGTTGTTTCCACCATGAAGCACAATTCTCATTCTTTCTCTTTCCATTTAATCCTCAATAACATCACAATTTTAGGGCTTCTCCATATTTTCACAAAAATTCTCCTTGCCAAGAATTTCTAGAAACAAAGGTCAATTAACCTAGAATTCCTCCTTAATCACTAGATTTTCAAGTTCTTAATAACCACAAGCTTAATCATCATCTTAAGCAAAATTTTTTCATGCTTTTCCCCATACTTAAACGTGCAGCCAAGGTAGAAAAAGTGAAAAATAAACCGAAATTTACCTTAGAGAATGAAGAGAAATCCTTAGTGACGCGAATTAGCGGTGTCGTTTTGTCAATTTCGATCAAAACTCATTTTTCTCACTTTGGGTGAATTTTTTTCTCTTCCTTTCTCTTTGGCTGAGTTCTCTCTGTTCTTAGCATTAAAAATGAACATTTAGTGGTATTTTTATCTCTTAAAAACTGGATTTAATAAAGTGAGAGGACTAAAATGTAATTTTGGCACTTTTGAGGGACCTCTTTGCAAAATTTCACCTAATTTCACCAAAAATATCTTTTCTTTCCTTTTTCACTAAGCTTGGCCGGCCACCTTGCATTCCACATGCATCAATCTCAGCCCTTCATCTAATTTTTTCACCTTAAATCTCAACAATCCATTTCTAATAACTATTTTATTTTCGTTCATTATTATTTTCTATCCGGTACGCATTTTTCAGATAGTTAGTCAACAAAGTCAACTTTGTTCAACCTTGACTATTCTATCAAGGGTGACTTATTAATCGACTTTTGATCAATAAATTTTGACTTGGTCAACCCTATTCGGTTGAAAACCTCAATTTTCTCGGTTCGGCTTTCCGAACCTCTTTCTGTTTGTTTTTCATTCCGATTGTTTCCAAAACCATAGAATTGATGTCTTTCAATTCTTTTCCATTTCTTAAACTTATCATTCATTTATTTACCCACTTGTGGGTTTAACACAGTGTTCCGTACCTCATTCTTAAATACAATCTGAAAATCAGTAACTGCATCATATTTCAGAAATTTCTGAACTTTAGCTTATAACTTGCTATTCCATATTTATATCACCAAATACTTATCATAAAAATATTTATATTCATAATATAAAGGATTTCAAAAAAGTTTATCTCATACAATAATTCTAATAAATTTTTCGGTCATGACCGGATGCTATACTCTCGATCGAGGCTTTGGCAAAGATCGATGAAAAACTGTGGAGATCTACTTAACAAGGCTCGCAGTGCTATTCTCTTGAGCCTAGGAGATGAAGTTCTCCGCGAAGTTGCAAAGGAAACCACAACAATTGGGATTTGGGAAAAGTTAGAATCACTGTACCTGAAGAAATCCCTGACGAATCGAATGTATCTCAAGAAGAGATTCTATGCCTTTCAGATGGATGATTCAAAGCCATTGAAGATATAAACATGATTGTGTTGGAAGTGAAAAGCATAGATGTCAAGATTGATGATGAAGACCAAACTACTATTCTGCTCAGTTCACTGCGCAAAAGATTCGAGCATTTTATGGATACGATGCTCTATGGTAAAGATTCTCTTACCATGGTCGAAGTTAAAACAACGTTAAATTCAAAAGAATTGCAGAAAAATGAGGATTTGAAAAAAGATGGTACAGCTGACGGTTTGGTTGCAAGAGGAAGAACATAGATACGAGAATTCAAGTCCAGAAATCATTCAAGATCCAAGTCAAGAGGCAAAAGAAAATGCTTCCACTGTCACAAGGAGGGGCATTTTAAGAAAGAGTGCCCGGAGAGGAAGAACAAAGCCCCAGACAAAGGAAAACAAGGCAGAGATGTTGTT